TGAAATTAAATAGTATCTATAATTAAATGATAATGCCAATACATTGTAACAGAACATAAGGAACACAATGAAAGCAGTCCTAGGAGGGAAATTTACAGCACTGAATACCCATAGCTGAAAAACAGAGCAAGCTCAAATAACCTACTGTTGAACCTCAAGCTTTTAGATCAAGGGCAGGTCATGCCTAAAGCTTGTAAAAAGGAGGATGTTATAGAGAACAGAGCAGAAGTTAAAGCAATGGAGACTAACAAAATAATACAAAGAATCAATGAAACAAAGAGTTCTGTGTTACATTAAATGAACTTGACAAACTCTCAGCCAACCTTATTAAAAACAAAAAAGACCCAAACACATACAATTGGGAATCAAAAGGTGGAAATCACAAGAAGCCCTACAGATATTCAGAAGATCCTCAAAACCAAACCTACTTTGAGAATGTGTATTGTAAGATAGAAAACAAAGAAGAAATAGACAGATTCCTAGTTACATATGAATTACCACAGCTGAATCAAGAAGGTATAAAAATTCTAAATAAATCAGTATCTGTCAGTGAAAGTGAAGATGTAATTAAAAACCCATCAATAAAGAAAACCCTAGGCCCTGACAGATTCACTGCTGAACACCACAAGAAATTTAGAGAAAACCTAATACTACTACTTCAGTCTCTTTTAAGAAATTGAAAGAGAAGCCATACTCCCAAATTCATTCCTGGAAGCATGTATTATCCTGATACCAAAACCAGAAAGGAATCCAATCAATCCTTGACTGCAAATTATACTACAAAGTTATTGTGATAAAAACTGGCAAAACAAAACAAAACAAAACAACCAGACTCAAGGATCAATGGAACAGATTTTAAGATGTAGAAACAACTCCAGCATACTCAATCATCTTATCTTTGACAAAGGAGCCAAACATACTCACTGGAAGAAAGATAGCTTCTTTAAGAAATGGTGCTGGAAAAAACTGGCTTTCCACATGCCAAAGATTACAACTAGACCCATATCCCTTCCCAGGCATTAAGCTAAAATCCAAATAGCTCAAAGACTTCAATATGAAAATAGAAACAACTCCAATCTGCTGGAAGACAGGTAGAACTGAAGACTTTGGTATAGGCAAAGATCTCATGGAAAAAAACCCCAATTGCAAAGCTTCTATCAGAAATAATCAACAACTTGGACTGCATCTTATTCAAAATCTTTTGAAAAGCAAGAGAAACTACCAAGAGAGTGAAGAGACAACCCACGCGATGGTAAAACATTTTTGCCAGCTGTTCCTCAGACAAAGGATTAATGCCTAAAATATATAAGGAGCTCAAAAATACAGAACCACCCCCAAATTCAAAAAATGGGCATCAAAAATGAACAGACCCTTCTCAGATGAAGAAGTAGCAATGCTAAAGAAATACATGAAATACATGATAAGGGGCTGGGCATTTAGCTCAGTGGCAAAAGCACCTGCCTTGCAAGCAGGTAGTCGTGAGTTCGATCTCTGGTACCTCTCTCACTAAGTCACCTCTCCCATTAAATAGGCACCAGAAAAGCTAACATAAAAGAATAAACAATGGGGGCTGGGGATTTAGCTCAGCAGCATAAGTGCCTGCCTTGAAGCAGGTGGTCATGAGTTCGAGCCCTGGTACCAGTTTAAAAAAAAAAAAAAAAAAAAGAATGAACAGTGTCAGGGGTAAAGATGATATGCGCACTGACTTCTCACATGCTGTTGGTGTCAGTACAATGCCACTTTTAGCAATATCTCTTAAGGCTGAACAAATGCATGGGATATCTATCACTCCACAGTTCTCTGCTTTTTTTTTTTTTTTTTTTAAAGGATCCGAGGGCCAGGGATATAGCTTAGTGGCACAACTCCTGTTTGGCAACACAACGTCCTGAGTTCAAGTCCCATTACCTCGCCCCCCAAAAAAGACAGGTTCTCAGTATAAAGCCCAAGAGGGGCGCAAACTCGCAGTCTTCTTGCCTCAACATTCTGCCCTGCTGAGTTTATAGGCATATGCCGCCATGCTCAGCCATAGCTTCACTCTCATACACAAAAGAAATAATACACAAGAATACTCAGGATAGAATTGATAAAAACTGGAATCAACCTGAATGTTCATGAATAGAAAAGAACAAATTTTGATATATTGGTATGCTGGATTACCAGACAACAGATGAGAATAGGCAAAAAATATAGGACACAGGTAAATCTCATGAACAATGAAACAACCAAGAAACACAATATAGGTACTATTTTACTTCATTTAGTCAAGAAGAAGCAAAAATAATCAATGGTGAGAGATCAAGACCATTGTTAGAATTGGAGGAAAGGTACAAGGATTCCTCATTTAACCACCAAGTCCTATTCCTGTCAGTACAGCGTTAAAAGAATTAGTTGCTAAATGAGGAGCTGTATATAGTACATACATTACAACACTCAGCACAAAGAAATGGTCAAAGGAAACTCCAACTTGATGACTTTGCCTTTATTTGCACAACTTCTATGCAGTATATAATGTACAACAGAACATGAAACTACAGTACCATAGAGTACCATCAGAAAAAGTATAGTACTGTATAAACATTACAAACTAAAAAAAAAAAAAAAAAAAAAACCATTGAGAGTCTCTGAACCAGATGTGCAGAACTTTACAAAAAACAAAAAAAGAGGAGGCATAAGTCTGAGCAGCAGGGAAGTCCAAACAGTTATTAAGCAGGTAATTAAATGAGAAACACCTGTACTGGAAACTAGGCAGGGGCTTCCAGTGTTTCATTTTGATGTAGGAACTGTTTCTCAAGTGTGTTGGCTCTATGGAAAATTCGCTGAGAAGATTTCTGATATTTGCTATAGTTGGGGGCCTTCATTCTGAGGAGCATTCTCTGCTCTCTTTTTATTTTTTATTTAAGACAACTGCTAAGTTTCTCAGGCTGGGCTCAAATTTTTGATCCTCCTGCCTTGGCCTCCCTAAGGGTTGAAGATTCCAGGAATGCACTACCATGCCCAGCCTTTTACTTCAATTTTTAGAAGTAGGGCACATTCTGACCTGCCTACCTAATGTGCCAAAAGTACACCGGGCACTTACTTGACAGGCCTCTCTAGTCAAACAACTACCAAAGATGAGCCTGATTCCAGGAAAGGAAAAGGACCAAAACAAGTTTGTTTCATGGTTTCTGTGTTTCTGAAATGCTGCATCAGGTGCTCAGATGGTGACGGGACCTGGTGGCATCATCACATTATGCACTAAACTAAGCATTTCCAGGCTGCTACACTGAGAACCCCCCAGAAACAAATCACCAGGCAACCACCTCATCAGCAGGTGTGACAACACCCACTGCCTGAAACCAACTCTACAAAACTCCTGTCACTTCCCTCTCAGGTCCTGCCTGCCTGTTTTTTCCAAAAACTGAATAGATTAACTATGTATTAGATAAACTGTAGATATATCTCAAATTATAGTCAATATATTACAAAAACAAAACTAAACCATCACAAATTTACAAATACCTGTATATACTATAAAATCCTTCACATAAACTGCTCCCCATTACCTCCCTACACAAATACAAGTTGGCCAGTTCTTATAATCTTCTATAGTAAAATCTGACCTAAATAAACTCTGACATTTATAAGATTCCAATGAGAAAAATCTTAATGTGACTAGGAGGGATGGAGCTCAGTGACAGAGCACTTAGGCAAACACAAATGAAGCCCTCCTTCAACCCTATGCTCCACAAAAGCAAACAATTTACTGATTCTCTAACCAACAAAAGAAACATATAGCACTAACATCAAATTATTGTTTCTAAAAAGGAAATTCAAATGCTTGGCTTATTAATCTTTCAGGAGAATTGACTATAGCCAACAAATACATTAGGGCTAGTGTTCATTTGCCGATTTATCACTGCAGACTCATCATGACAGCATAGATGTATGCTTATTCAGGTCTACCTGAATGGACCAGAAAGGCAACTATTATGAACAAGTAAAATGGTACTCGATGGCTTATAAACACCTAAATAATAAGCTACTTATCTCCCACTATGCTGTGTACCATTTACCTTACATTTTTCTAGTTTTACTATGTTCTCCCTTCGCATGCCATTCAGTCTCCATTTAATTCCACAAGAGGCAGTTTTGAGATACTGGGCTGAATGTAATATAATTAAAGAAAGAACTACAGTTGTTTCCAACTTTGAGGTGGTTTTTACTTTTATATATTTGTTTTTGGTACTGGGGATCAAACTCATGACTTTATGCTTGCCAGGCAGAAGCTTATGCTGCTGAACTAAATCCCCAGCCCAGTTGTTTTAAACTTAGAAGTCTAGTCTAAAAGGAGAAAGTTCCTAAAGAATAAATTTCCAGTTTTCTATCCCTTATTACAAATGTGATTTACAAACACCGGTATTCTGTAAAGATCGTCTGTAAAAATTTTTCTCTGTGAAATCAATCCTTGTCTACCAAATTTCAAGGGCTAGAGATAATATCTCAGCAGCAACAAGCATCTGCTTGGCAAGAGCAAGGTCCTCAGTTCGATTCCTGATACCAAAAACAAAAAAAAATTATTATCTACTAAATTTCATTAGAAAACTGCAAATCCTTGAGATACAATCCTAAACACACATACAATTCCTGAGATACAAGCCATGGGAAGCCTACATTAAGCAAGAGATCTCACAAAACAGAATCAAAGAAACCAAGGACCATGCCGCTTGGTTGTTGTTTCAAGTCTTTTTAAAAAACCTTCAAAGTGCATTCCCAAATCTTTAGCAGTTCCTCAGCGAAGAGTGAAAGTAGTAAGATATTTTCACATGACTTTACAGAACACTAGTTTGTTTGCCCTAAGTAGCTGAATCCCCAGGAACTCTGCATGCGCTTACAAACACTAGGAACTATCATTTGACAAGTGGTTGGTTACACAAAATATACAGGTACAAAAACAAAAGATGGTACCACAGAAAGACACGTAACAGAAAAAACCTGTAGTTTCAGGTGAAAACCACACATACCTGTGGAAGCGCAGTATTGAGTTGTCTCTGCAACGAATCTCTCTCATGACCAACCTCGAGTAATTTCCCCTGGGTCAACGCCAATGTTTCTTGAGTCTCTATCAGTGTGCTCTGAGCAATGTCTGTTTCTTCTAGCATGGACATCATGTGCTGTTCAAAATGGGAATCTGCATCTGGTTGTGAAGGGCAGCCAGATCCATGGTTTTCACTTCCTCCTGAAGGGCCTTCTTCACTGATGGTGGGCATCACCTCACACATCATTTTGGAACAAAAACACAGGACTAGTCATTATACGGAAAATACAGGTTCCCACAAATCTACAACTTTATGAGTATCTGTAGCTAATAAAGGAAAGCTGACAATCTCTTTATTCACAGATCTGTTATTCTTTGGATGCAAATACTCTGTGAAGATACACCCAGGCACCCATTAAATGCAGAAAGCCACCACATGAAGACACTAAAGAAGACAACAACGCTGGGAAGATGTAAGGCCCAAAGAGAGCTACTTATTTCTCCTATAAAGAATAGAGCAAACCATGTGAGGTTTTGTTTGCAAAAGCAAACTTTTTAGTTTTGAAAACAAGTGCGCTTCTGTTACCTAGTTTTTTTCTATTTCCTGGTAGGGGCCCATTCCACTCGATCCTTTTTCAGGAAAAGCACAGAAGCAGTATACAGCCAGGAAAACTGACAAGGACAAAATCCAACAGGCATCTTACATCTTACATCTTATTGACTGTGTGCAGTCAGCTCCTGGGAAGGCCTGCCTGAATTCTTGGGCTTAATTTAGTGAACACAGAAAGGAATTGGATTTGCTATGGCTCAAGAGAGATGTTTTTCAAGGACTGCAGTGGTTGTTCAGTCAACCTAACTTAAGTTTACAGCTAAAAAAAAAAAAAAAAAAAAAAAGAAGGCTTCACAATGGAAATACAGCAGTTCAGTACAGTGGAGAATGGTTAGGAAGGAAAGGTAAGAGGTATGATCATGAGAGGCTATTAAGTGTGTCACATAGACAGACGGGCCTAATGAGGGCGACAGGGATCGCTGAAGACTTCCAGGTAGTACCCCAGGCAGGTGCGACCCTCCAGCAAGAGATCCCCGCGACCGCACACCTGACCACGATGATTTCTAGCACCTCACCGGGTGCTGTACAAGTTCTGGCCCCACTTACCCTAGAGCTTTCCAGGACGCGGCCATACAGGCGAGTCCACAGTGCCATCACTGGGGTCTCCTGGGCAATGTGCAGTGGTTTAGAATCCGTCCCTCGAGACCTAGGGGGTCCTGCTAGCCGCGAGCAGGACCAACCGCCAGCGCAGGACCAACCGCCAGCCAAGCGCTGAAGCTTTGCCCCCGCCCACGCGCACCCCCGGGTGACATTTGGCGGGTGGCCCCTGGCCAGCTCCAACCTTCCTGCCTCAGTCTCCCGCTCCTTACCTTGCGCGCAGTCTTTTTTTTTTTTTTTTTTTTTTTGTCTTTTTCATTTTTATCGGTACCAGGGATTGAACTCACGACCGCCTGCTTGCAAGCAGGTACTTATGCCACTGAGCTAAATCCCCAGCCCCCCGCGCGCAGTCTTTTTAAACATTGCGATATAAAACAAAAACCATTCTTAAAAAGCAAAAAGGGTTCAGTTGACTTAAGCGTTGTCATCACTCGGGGGCTGGGGGTTTAGCTCAGCGGCATAAGCGCCTGCTTTGCAAGCAGGCAGTCGTGAGTTCGATCCCCGGTACCGATAAAAAGGAAAAAGACAAAAAAAAAAAAAAAAAAAAAAAAAAAAAGAAGGCTTCACAATGGAAATACAGCAGTTCAGTACAGTGGAGAATGGTTAGGAAGGAAAGGTGAGAGGTACAATCATGAGAGGCTATTAAGTGTGTCACATAGACAGACGGGCCTAATGAGGGCGACAGGGATCGCTGAAGACTTCCAGGTAGTACCCCAGGCAGGTGCGACCCTCCAGCAAGCGATCCCCGCGACCGCACACCTGACCACGATGATTTCTAGCACCTCACCGGGTGCTGTACAAGTTCTGGCCCCACTTACCCTAGAGCTTTCCAGGACGCGGCCATACAGGCGAGTCCACAGTGCCATCACTGGGGTCTCCTGGGCAACGTGCAGTGGTTTAGAATCCGTCCCTCGAGACCTAGGGGGTCCTGCTAGCCGCAAGCAGGACCAACCGCCAGCGCAGGACCAACCGCCAGCCAAGCGCTGAAGCTTTGCCCCCGCCCACGCGCACCCCCGGGTGACATTTGGCGGGTGGCCCCTGGCCAGCTCCAACCTTCCTGCCTCAGTCTCCCGCTCCTTACCTTGCACGCAGTCTTTTTTTTTTTTTTTTTTTTTTTTTTTTTTGTCTTTTTCATTTTTATCGGTACCAGGGATTGAACTCACGACCGCCTGCTTGCAAGCAGGTACTTATGCCACTGAGCTAAATCCCCAGCCCCCCGCGCGCAGTCTTTTTAAACATTGCGATATAAAACAAAAACCATTCTTAAAAAGCAAAAAGGGTTCAGTTGACTTAAGCGTTGTCATCACTCGGGGGCTGGGGGTTTAGCTCAGCGGCATAAGCGCCTGCTTTGCAAGCAGGCAGTCGTGAGTTCGATCCCCGGTACCGATAAAAAGGAAAAAGACAAAAAAAAAAAAAAAAAAAAAAAAAAAAAAAGAAGGCTTCACAATGGAAATACAGCAGTTCAGTACAGTGGAGAATGGTTAGGAAGGAAAGGTGAGAGGTACAATCATGAGAGGCTATTAAGTGTGTCACATAGACAGACGGGCCTAATGAGGGCGACAGGGATCGCTGAAGACTTCCAGGTAGTACCCCAGGCAGGTGCGACCCTCCAGCAAGCGATCCCCGCGACCGCACACCTGACCACGATGATTTCTAGCACCTCACCGGGTGCTGTACAAGTTCTGGCCCCACTTACCCTAGAGCTTTCCAGGACGCGGCCATACAGGCGAGTCCACAGTGCCATCACTGGGGTCTCCTGGGCAACGTGCAGTGGTTTAGAATCCGTCCCTCGAGACCTAGGGGGTCCTGCTAGCCGCAAGCAGGACCAACCGCCAGCGCAGGACCAACCGCCAGCCAAGCGCTGAAGCTTTGCCCCCGCCCACGCGCACCCCCGGGTGACATTTGGCGGGTGGCCCCTGGCCAGCTCCAACCTTCCTGCCTCAGTCTCCCGCTCCTTACCTTGCACGCAGTCTTTTTTTTTTTTTTTTTTTTTTTGTCTTTTTCATTTTTATCGGTACCAGGGATTGAACTCACGACCGCCTGCTTGCAAGCAGGTACTTATGCCACTGAGCTAAATCCCCAGCCCCCCGCGCGCAGTCTTTTTAAACATTGCGATATAAAACAAAAACCATTCTTAAAAAGCAAAAAGGGTTCAGTTGACTTAAGCGTTGTCATCACTCGGGGGCTGGGGGTTTAGCTCAGCGGCATAAGCGCCTGCTTTGCAAGCAGGCAGTCGTGAGTTCGATCCCCGGTACCGATAAAAAGGAAAAAGACAAAAAAAAAAAAAAAAAAAAAAAAAAAGAAGGCTTCACAATGGAAATACAGCAGTTCAGTACAGTGGAGAATGGTTAGGAAGGAAAGGTGAGAGGTACAATCATGAGAGGCTATTAAGTGTGTCACATAGACAGACGGGCCTAATGAGGGCGACAGGGATCGCTGAAGACTTCCAGGTAGTACCCCAGGCAGGTGCGACCCTCCAGCAAGCGATCCCCGCGACCGCACACCTGACCACGATGATTTCTAGCACCTCACCGGGTGCTGTACAAGTTCTGGCCCCACTTACCCTAGAGCTTTCCAGGACGCGGCCATACAGGCGAGTCCACAGTGCCATCACTGGGGTCTCCTGGGCAACGTGCAGTGGTTTAGAATCCGTCCCTCGAGACCTAGGGGGTCCTGCTAGCCGCGAGCAGGACCAACCGCCAGCGCAGGACCAACCGCCAGCCAAGCGCTGAAGCTTTGCCCCCGCCCACGCGCACCCCCGGGTGACATTTGGCGGGTGGCCCCTGGCCAGCTCCAACCTTCCTGCCTCAGTCTCCCGCTCCTTACCTTGCGCGCAGTCTTTTTTTTTTTTTTTTTTTTTTTTTTTTTTTGTCTTTTTCATTTTTATCGGTACCAGGGATTGAACTCACGACCGCCTGCTTGCAAGCAGGTACTTATGCCGCTGAGCTAAATCCCCAGCCCCCCGCGCGCAGTCTTTTTAAACATTGCGATATAAAACAAAAACCATTCTTAAAAAGCAAAAAGGGTTCAGTTGACTTAAGAGTTGTCATCACTGGGGGGCTGGGGGTTTAGCTCAGCGGCATAAGCGCCTGCTTTGCAAGCAGGCAGTCGTGAGTTCGATCCCCGGTACCGATAAAAAGGAAAAAGACAAAAAACTCGCGACCTCACACTTGCCAGGAAGGCACTGTGCTGCTGAGCTATATATCTCCGCCCCCTGGCCCTTTTTTATTTTGAGATACGGTCTCTCGTTGCTGAGACGAAATATCTGACCCCCCAGTAAGGGTGGAAAAGTTTATTTAAGCTCACATCTGTAGAGGTTTCAGTCTGTAATCAGCTGGTTCCAAGGCAAGGTGGTATAAAGCAGAGGGCAACAGTTCATGGTATTGGAAAACAGCAAAAGCAACAAGGCAAGCAAAGGACAAACCTCACCAGGGATTTAGCTCAGTGCCTCAAGCGCTTGCCTGGTAAGCGCAAGGTGAGTTCAGTCCCCGGTACCAAGAAAAAAAGACAGATCTCTTTCTATGCCTTATATTGTATGCAGGCTACCCACACATAGGACAGATGCAGACTCAACATCCTTAATCCTAGCATTGGACCATGAATTGATCACAAACTCTAGAGCCAGCCACTTCCAAAAAGCCACGCTCTATGACTGCATGAGGCTATTGGGGGACATTTAGACACAAACTAACAGGATCCCAAAGTTGCCTAGGTTGACTTTGAATTTGCAATCCCCCTGCCTCAGCTTTTGGGTAGCTGGAATTATAATCATATATCATCATGGTTTGTCATTTCTACTTTGACGTTAACAAAATAAGAAATAATTACCAAGCTAGTTGTTTTTTTTTTGTTTTTTTTTTTTTTTTGTTTTTTTTTACTTTTTTTTTTGTCTTTTTCATTTTTATCGGTACCAGGGATCGAACTCACGACCACCTACTTGCAAGGCAGGTGTTTATGCCGCTGAGCTAAATCCCCAGCCCCAAGCTAGTTGTTTTTTATCACCCCATTCTTTGTCATGCTTACAGTATTGTCTCAAATTGTTTTTGTTTAGTCCCTGTTTTCAATCATTTTTCTTTGTTGTTTTTGGTACCGGTAATCGAACTCATTACCTTGTGCTTGCCAGGCAGGCACTGTGCTGCTGAGCTACAGCCCATTCTTTGTTGTTTTTAATATTTAGCTCTTACCCCATTGTAGATTAACAGTGAGTGTTTTTGTGTCCCTCATTTGGCCTTTTTTTTTGGTTTTGTTTTTGCAGTATTGGTGTTTGAAATGTGAGTCTTTGCAATAGCTACATTCCAAGTTATACTTCTTTATTTATTCAGGGTTTTGTTAGGTTACTAAATTCATTGTCCAGGCTGGGCTCTAATTTCTGATCCTTCTACTTTATGGCCTCCTGAGTCCCAAGTAGCTGGATTTACAGGTGCACCCAACATGCCTCAGCAGCCTTTTCTTTTTTCTGCTTTGCAGTTCTGGTGATTGAAGCAGAACTCCGAGCTACATCATCAGCACTCTTTCCCCCTTGTAGTTCAGGCTGGCCTTGCGCTCACTGTCCTCCTGGCTCAGCCTTCCCAGTGCTGAGATTACAGGTGTCTGCTACCACGCCTGGCTGTTCTTCCCCCTTCTTTATTTAACTTCATCTTGAGTGTGGTCTTGCCAAGTTGCCCACATTGGCTGCAGTCCTTCTACCTTAGCATCTTTTTTTTTTTTTTAATTTTTTTTTTTGTCTTTTTCTTTTTTTTTTTTTTTTTATCGGTACCGGGGATCGAACTTGCGACTGCCTGCTTGCAAGGCAGGTGCTTATGCCGCTGAGCTAAATCCCCAGCCCCCACACCCTGATATGTAACAAGATTTTTTTTTTCTTTTTCCTTTTTTGCAGTACCCGGGATGGAACTCATGACCTTGTGTTTGCCAGGCAGGCACTTATGCTACTGAGCTAAATCCCCAACCCCTGTAATGAGATTTTTACCACTATTTTAGTCTGTATAACCAGCCAGCTTTAAGAGAACCGACAGATAGAAAGATGTATTTATAACGATTGGTTGAAAGTAGAGGAGTTACTTTAAAAGAGAACATGAATTTTCTAAAACTTATTAATTACTAGGTTAATATTATGGGGCTGGGGATTTAGATCAGTGCCATAAGCACCTGACTGGCAAGCGCAAAGTCAAAAGTTCAATCCCTGGTACCAAATAAAATAAAAATACAATAAAATAGATTAATATTAAAATAT